GAGATGGAAATAATGGCTGATTGTTCTCCGCCGGTAGAACCAATGACATCAAAGACGCGCCTCGACCGGCAGACTCATAGGCGTCGGCAAAGCATTGGAACGTGCTTCGTTGAGCGATCGCATATTGTGTGTTTTTATAAGAATTGTTGTGTGATTGTTATTGTTGTGGTTTCTGTAGTTACTGTTTTGGTTATACTTAACCATGGAGAGTACAAATGGCACGAGTGGAAGTACTGAAAGCCAGGGAACAAGTAGATGGCTTCGTAAAGCACTGAAGAGGGACGCGAAAGAAATCGTGCTCAACGTGTTCAATTATCTGAACAGAACTATGTCGCAGGGAGATGCACTCGCGCGTTGTGAAAGTATGACAGGCGTTCCAGAGTGGACCATTCGCAGGGTGGTGCATGAAAAGAAGAAAACTGGAGCTACTACGGATCCAAAGTTTAATTTGAAGGGACGAAAGGCCGTTAAATTGGATGACGATAGCAAAATGGCGTTAAGGCGAACCGTACATTAATTCTTCTTTAGGAATGAGATACCAACCCTCAAGGCTGTATATGCAGCGATCAAGGAAAATGAAATTATACCCCAATTTTCGTTACGAAACGCGTAATCGGAAGTCAATATTGATAGAGAGACCTGAAATAGTCGCCTGGCGTCGAAAGTACCTACGCGAAATGATTGAATATAGGCGACAAAGCAGAAAAATCTATTATTTGGACGAGACATGGGTAAATACAGGTCACACAGTTAAAAAAAATGGATAGACAAAAACGTAGTGAGTAACCGACAAGCAAGCATTGAAGGTTTGTCAACAGGTCTTCGTGGACCGTCAGGGAAAGGTCAAAGATTGATCGTAACTCATATTGGTAGCGATAGTGGCTTTTTAGAAGAGTGTGACTTGATTTTCGTCTCTAATAAAGGAGGTGATTACCATGACGAAATGAATGCCAGCTGCTTCGAGAGCTGGTTTCAAGGGGTGCTTCAGCGAGTTGAGCCCAACTCTGTGATCGTCATGGATAATGCTTCCTACCATAGTCATCGAGCCGAACGTGTACCGACTATGGGATCTCGAAAAAGTGACATGCAGCAATGGTTGCGCGAAAAAGGAATCCCGTTTGATGATTCATGTGTGAAAGCGGAATTGTATGAAAAAATTAAACAGCACAAACCTGCGAACATTAGTTACGTGACTGATGAGATGGCCCGACAATGTGGTGTCACTGTGCTGCGGTTACCGCCCTACCACTGTGAACTGAACCCAATAGAGCTCATCTGGGCTCAAGTGAAGGGTTATATTGCGCGCCATAACACAACCTTCAAATTACCAGACGTTAAGGTTTTACTTGAGACTTCCATACAGCTAGTAACGCCCGAAGCTTGCAGAATGCTATCCGTCATGTTGTGAAGGAAGAAACAAAAATGTGGCAGCTTGACCACCACATCGACACCATCATAGAGCCAATTATAGTCAATTTCAACGAGGAAAGCGATAGCGACAGTTTATTACTGTCAGATGGAAGTGGAAGCGACGATGAATAAAGGTAATTCCCAAATTTTTGACTTACAATATGTTTCAAACCACTCTTTATTAAGCACGTGACAAATCTAGTTCACCCATGTTAAACATTCATACCCCGCCTATGAACAGCCGACTACTGGTAGTTAAGTGATGTTCACGTGAACATCGATGAGTCATTACAGTTTTAGATAGTTATAGTCTAGTTATTATCGTATCATATTGGCTTCCCTACTCTAATGTAGAAGACTTCCAAGGTCAGTCGGGCAGACCAGCGGATTATAAAGGCATTCTGCGAAGTATCTTCTCTCGATATGGCTACTCTTTGCTTCAAGCGTCTTTCGGGTTGTCGGATACCGGCGCAACCTTGGATCAACGTGAAACCAAGGCTCAATCGCGGCTTAACTTGAACCGTCAGATTTGATGGCGCAGAGCAGGCTCAACGACGGCTCAAGTAGAAGATTGGTTGCGAACTCGCTGAAAAAAAAATGACAGCAAATGAGGGATGAATTTAATGGAACGTTTACTGATATGGAAGTTATTGTAGAATTAAATAATGGGCTTATTTGTTCGTTAAGAAGCACGTAAACATGACAGCAGTTTAAGGGCTGCATGACTCAATGTGGAATTCTATACGAAAGTTGACATGAAGTATTTGTACGGCACTTGACAACCTGACAAAGGAGAGGTTATGTGTACTTGTCAGAGGTGAGGATTTTGATAGTTTACCAGTTTCCGTACAAATTTTGCACCTCTTTCATATCGATGGCCTAGTGACAATACTACGTATCATCAAAACTCAGCTTTTGGTACCTGTGGATCCGTCTGTCACTATGCTATCAAGTTAAGCGTTCAGCAGCAATGTACGCTTATAGAACCATTTTTTTCACGACTATCTATAATAACTAGTATCAGATATTACTAATGCTATACCAGGTAGCATGAATGCTCTGTCCATTTTCATTTTCAAGATTCAAGATTTTCTCTATTTCCATTCGTTTTGGTCTATGCATAGAATTTTGAATATTTTAAACGTCTTTTGAAATCGAAAGTAGTGACTAATTTTTTTGATAAAAGTAAACACGTAAACTACAGTCTAAGGTTTGATACGTGTTATTTTTGATTTATCGAGGTTGAGCCCATATTAAAAAGATTTTTCGTGTAGTAGGCAAATGTTTGTGCGTGGTTTTACTACTAGACCATCAATATCAAATTTCACATCGTCATACGACCCTAAAAACCACTTTGCTAAACTGAACGACCAGGAATTCAACAATCGATTCAAAATATTCAAACATGTGGCAGGCTAGATTTCTTTTGAAGATCATTTACGAACAACTCTGTTAATTCATCGCAAAGGTACTTCTCAGGATGTTACTATTGGTTTTCTATAATGAATCATTGACTTTTTAGAAATATTAAATAAATGTTTAAATTAAATCAATCTATTACATTTTATATTTATAAAGGCAATATGCCTATTTTAACTGTGTGCTCTTCTTGCATCTTGAGCTTCACTGCTCATCCTCGTTCGTGTAGTTTCGTAGACACTTCACCTTTTCTTTTCATTACCTCCAGTATTTTGCTATGTTCTGGAATTCGATGGGGTTAGGAATATGTTCTTCTCGGGGGACGGGAGGTAACGACGATTATAAATTGAAGAGCGGGTGGCGGCTACATGCTCTTGAGAGCGAATACTTTTGTAACAATTTGGAAATTTCCTAGTTTTCAAAATCACTTTAAATGAAGGTCTAAGTAAGGTGACGTACAGCACTGAACATTTTTTATTAATATCTTAAAAAATTACAAATTTACGCTACTCAGAAGTTTCTTCTTTGGAGAATTATCTGATTGGAGCGTGAGACTGGATGATGACGTCAGCTGACACCAGCTACCACAAAGCTATACGACCGCTGCGCACGCTTCGTGCCATTTGCATATGTTGCTCTGCTCCGTATTTACGATTTTCGGTAAAAATGGGTAAACATCATGGACTTAAACTACTGTATTGTACCTAGGTGTACAAATACATGCATATCAACTCCAGAAAAACATAGAAGATTTAGGATGAAGTGGTGCAGGGTAATACACAGGGACAAGGACGACAAATAGCCTCTTCTGGAAATACCATTGCACTGCTCTAAATATCATTTTTATGTTAGTCGACAAATTTTTGCAAACATAGCCGTCATACTGGATCCGCCATTTAGATTTTTCAAGAATCGATATTTAATTCATTATTAGCGATACATACCATATTCTTGCAAAAATGGCAGAATAGAAAGAATAGACACCTAAGCTATAAGCTTGTGTGTGTGTCATACAATATACAAATTCAATGCATAGCTAATGGTCATAAAGATTATGAGCAAATGTATATATAAAAAAAAGAAATAAAAAACATTAGATAGAAACGAAATGACTGAGTTGAGTCAAGCTACAGTCGATGCAAGCATGTCAAAGTTATTTAAGACGAACTCCTTAATTCTTTTTTGAAACTATACTTCGAGAGGATTTTATATTCTAGGGGTAATTTATTATACAACCTAATATCATCAAACTTTATGCATTTTTGGCAAACAGATTTATTCACTCTGGTATAAGTGTAACTTATATTTTTTTTAGTTCTTGTTTCATAAGCGTGGCTGGTTGGAACATTGTTTCTGGAGTGAACAAATTTCATTACAGCAAAGATATATAAACCTCTAACATTCAAAAGATCATTTTCAATGTAAACAAATCTGCAACTTGACCTACATGGGATACGAAACTTAGTCCTGACAATATAATTTTGCGTGGTTTGTAGTATTTTTAAAGTACTAGTGTATGCGGCTCCCCATATACTTATCCCGTAAGTTAGTAGAGACCCCACAAACGAGTTATATATTGAGAGAAGACTCTTTCTGCTTAAAATATTCCTAAGAATGAAAAACTTTCTCCTTAATTTCGATGCCAAAAGCTCGGCATGACTCTGCCATTTTAAATTACTGTCAACAGTGATTCCTAAGTATCTAATAACTTCAACTATTTCGACAGTGTCAGCACTATTATTTATAATTAATGTTCGGTGGGGTAATGGCATGCCTGCTTTAGTTGGAGAAAACGTTACATACTTAGTTTTAGAGATATTAAGTTTAAGTAAATTGTTATCCAACCAGCATTTGACTTTATTTAATGACAACTCGGCATTCCGTATTGCGTCATCCCATGAATGACCTGCTTAAATCTGACCCTACCTATCGATCAGCCAAATAGTTTTCAAATAAGTTCAGAACTCCACTACGCACTCCAACACTGTCTAGTTTCTTTAATAAAATTGTATGAGATACTGAATCGAAAGCCTTTTGGAGATCTAGGAAAACTGCAACAGTCTTATTTCCATCTTGAAAATTTTCAAGCACTTGTAGAGATTGCTCTGTATTGCAATTTTTGCGGAACCCAAATTGACAGTTCGATATTATGTCATATTTCTCAAGAAAAGAACAAAGTCTGTTATTCAAACACTTCTCAAAAATCTTCCCAAATACATTGATAACTGAAATAGGTCTATAATTGAACATATTGTGTTTACTTCCAGATTTAAATATTGGTGTCACTATGCTTTCTTTAAATTGGCGAGGAATTACTGAGGATTTGAAACAGAGGTTGATAATGTGAGTTATAGGGTGACTGATATACTTCATGATCATCTTGATAGTTTTAGTGTGTAAGCAATCTTTTCCGGGTGCGCTATTATTTTTCAGATTACAAACTATTTGCTGTAACTCTATGTTATCCACTGGAGTTAGAAACATAGAGTGAGCAATGTTGACGACATGAAGATCTGATGTATCAAGAATTGAGTTTTGGATGTTGCGAGATGGGTGGCTAATTCAAAACTCAATCAATCTGAAAAGACTGACATACACATTTTGAGATATATTGTGTTGAGCCTATAAAATAATACATGGAAACATGGTAGTGAAAGTAAAAATCAAACAATACTTTTGCAAACATTCCTTTAAATGCCTGTTGGTTTAGTATTGAATGCCAAGTGCTTCAACTACGGTAGAAGGGACAGTCGTCAACAATAGCTGTCGACACTGCTCTAACCAATAGGGGATTCTATACAGATTACATGCAATCTGACCATACTCCAGGAGGCATCCAAGTGAATCCTCACAGCCCAACAGTACGCCCCTGTCCGTCGACGCCGCGTCTCTTTTCGTGTCGCCATGACGACGGCAACTCCAGCACCGCTATAGAGCCGCGATCGCGCCAGGTCCGCCACGTAGGCCGTTGCGCTTCGCCCCCAGCTACGAAACCCCGGCTCAGAGAGAACCCCAGCCGTGTCGGAGTTACCACCCGAAGCGAGTCAGCGGTGTACACTCCACCACCCCTTACCCCTTGCTCTTTCAACATTACCCTCCCTTTCCTGCATCCACATCATCATCATCCCTGAGTACACTCACCTCCACTATGTGTACCTACTCTTCATTATGTACAGTCAGGGACACCACAGGCTCTAACGCATTTTGGTGCCATAGTTTCTAATAGCACAATATTCATATTGTAAGCATGATCCAGTGATTAAGCTTGGAGGAAGAATAAGCAGCTCTTTAAACGAGGAAATAACAATGGACATTACCTCATAATCATATTAATTGTCTTTGACACTACAGTAGATAGGGTTGCTAAGTGATATCTGGAACAGTGACTTTTTTAGGCACTGGGCACCTCACTAATATGCCCCTGACTACGCATTTCAATCCTTTCATTCATTTCGTTGAGATCTTATCGTCATACATATGTCCTGCCATTGCTCTAAAAGTCTTAATCTGAGAGTAATAACAGTCCATGAACTTTTGGTAATGAATTTAGATGCTAAGAGCCGGATAGAGTATGATAAGGAATCTTCAGGTCCTTGGAAGCATACCAGATGTTTCAAATTGGGAACTCTGGAACAATAAGAAATAATTCATAGTATATCCAGGTACACGGGATAAATGAATTAATCAAGGATCGTTTTCAATTTTGTTGTTGTCACTTTATGTCCTCTACAAGATGGCATTATTAGAATTTCAATATGACGTTCTATATAGTATAGGTAAAAGGTTCATTTCCAATTTGAATGATATACATTCATAATATGGATTCATTTTATAAAATTACAATCGGGCCAAGAACAACGTAATTCCATCCTAAACAATTTAAAGGTAATAACTTTGAACACTATATAATTTTAAGAAACTGGTAGAAACATTATAAAGCAAGTAACGCTTTCGACGATGCTGCAGGCTAATAAACACAATTCAATGCACTCCGTCATATCTAAACCGATGCACACACCTTCCATTTAAAGGAGGCTAAAAATAGTCGATAAAGGGGAAAATTATCTAAATGTCGTTTGAGCACGCTTTGCTAAAAGTAAAGCAATCTTTATTTTGAATTATAATCAAATAAGCATGCGATCAGCTGTCATTTTCGAGGTCAACTATGCAAATATTATTTTTTAAATAACTGAAGTTTTGCAATGTTAATGTAAGACATTTTATACATTTCTGGATGCAGAATTAAAAGCTGGACTCATTTGTGCAAAAACACAATATGTATAAACATCGCGATGTTGATGAGAAATTGAGGAAAATTCGTTTTTTTTTAAACACATGGTATGCTTGGAAACTGCAAACTTTGCACAATTTCGAGTAGACGTTAAGGGGCTATTCAAGTATTACGTGAGCACTATGGGGGCGGGGGATCTTTGCTTTGCTTATTTTGGATGACATGGGGGGCAGGGGAGTCTAGATGATGATTACGTCATCGGTAGTTATTCTCTTTTTTACACGAATGGCAACCCTCACATTGTCTTTGCTTGAAAACAAAACGCATTTTCGGGGATTCCTGCAAATACTCGCTTTAGAACCGAGTAGGGGAATTACCGCGCGGTGTTCACTTGTCTAAATTTCCTCTATCAGTGTATTGTTTCGTTTGGATACTATAGCGAGTAGACGTATTGTAAGCATAGTAAAGCAAGTTAACATTTGTGATAGATACTATTGATTCCATTAGCCAAAGTTTAATGTTTAAATAAGATGTCGTTTCATATAGACAAATCCAAGTTGTACCAAACTTTGTTTGAAAGTTTTAAAAAATCTCATACAAGTACGAAAGTACAAAATGTACAAAAGTTAGTTAACGAAGTGTGGCGAAATTACAAATCACAAGGAAAATCCGACAAGGAACTAGATATTATTGTATCTAAGAGAATCGAAGAAGAATTGCAAGCGGCAACTAAGAATAAATCCAATCTACTAAATTTTTTTCTAAGGTGAGTGACGAAATCATTTTAGGTACCTATGAGTACTAGAAATATTATAAATCGCCAAAAAGTTTCTCTTTACTGATTAGAAAATATTATGGCCTATCTCAAAGTATAGAGGTAATATTAATTATATTATAGATTTATTTCTTATGATTGATTCCGTAAATTGGTCACAAAGTACAGGATGTTAGTTTTATACATATATACAGAAAACTAACACCCTGTATTTTGTGACCGGAACCAATTGCTCGTTTAAACATATTAGATTTAAAGCCATAGGGTTTTGTATTTACCATATATATTGCCATACTTTGTATTTATGTAGCTTAATAAGAAAATCTTTAGCAGAAGCCATAGAAAGTTTTTATTTTTAGGCAACCTGTAAAACTACAGAAAAAACACAAATTATACAGTCGCTTCAAATATCAAAAAAGAGGAAGAAGATAAAATAAAACCCGGTAATGAATCACAACAGCAATGCGAAATTAATGAAAATACAGATAAACAGAGAGCAAAACCTTCTCAGGAAGCTATGAAAAATAAGATTACTCTACTCGAAAAAATCTGAATGCTTTGTATTCTGCCAGAGATACTATGCCAAGCCGTGCTGAAGTTAATAAACAGATCATTAAGTTGCGCGAGGAAATAAAAACACCAAAACAGTCTTTAAACAGGAAGGTTCAAAACGCAGTTGCCCAGAAGAAACACAGGGATGGTATGAAAAGAAAGTTAGAAGATATTTGTCATGAAAATCCAGAAATAAAAAAAAGACTATCTCTGAGGGATTCAGTGGGACCTCCTAATCTTGAAAGCAATCAACATTCACTATTGAAAACAATCGCGGATATAGCTTTATTTTGGAGTGCAGCAGATGATAGAAGACGAACGGAATCTATTCGCAGCGTAAAAACTCTTGATGAACTCGCACAAGAATTACGTAAAATAGGATTTGACATTAGTCGCAGTGGGACATATCTTCGTTTGATTCCCAGAAAATCTAATTCTGCAGAGGGACGAAGACATGTATCGACAGTCCCTGTTAAGCTCATTCGGGCTCAAACTGATCACCACAAGAGCCAAATTGCCTGATTACGATTGGGTAATCGCTGAGCGTCATAAATTAATACCATCTGTTTATGCTGGTATCAAAATGACTTCCAATATTCTAGGACAACCGCAACCCGGTAGATATTCTGGACCAACATACATCGCTATTCGAAGTGGAAAGCATAGTTCATCTACTGCTAATACTCATGCTCAGGATTTCGAGACGCTTCTCGAACTTGAAGAGTTTCTACCATTAGCTAAAACTGACCATGGACTAGTAAAACCAGTGGCAATCATGACGGTTGATGGAGGGCCAGATGAAAATCCACGTTATGAAAAAGTCATAGGGTTTGCTATACAACACTTTAAGGGACATAATCTCGATGCATTGTTTTTCGCTACCAATGCTCCTGGAAGAAGTGCGTATAAGAGAGTAGAGCGCATAATGGCTCCTCTTAGTCGTGAATTGGCTGGTTTAATATTGCTTCATGACCATTTTGGGTCTCATTTGGATGAACGTGGAGTTACAATTGATGAACATTTAGAAAGATCTAATTTCGAATTTGCAGGAAATACAGACATTAAATGGTATTCAGAACATGTGCGTGAGAGCCAATACTTGCTTCAAATTGTAAAATGTCGTCTAAGAAGTGGCCTATTTAGATTACTAGACAATAGGTTTCTTCCACCACTTGTAAAAGTAAAACAAACAGTTGATGACTTAGTTTTGGATGAAGGAGGGTAATTTCTTAATATTCCGGTCAATTTAGCTCTACGCTTAAGTGCTTCACTCAAAGATTTCCTGCAAATGCCCTACGATTATTTTTGTCTGACGGTAAAATTGAAGCTATCAAGTCGAACATGCAAAACGTGTGGTCTTTATCATGCTTCCGTCAAGTCACTAAATCGTCACATCGAAAATATCCATAAAAAAGTAAACACGCACACTGATAGGAAAGTTAGACCTGTAAGAGTCGCTGCTCGTCTTGCTAATGAACTGATGTGCATTATTCAAAATTTAGAGCACCATGATGTTGAATGGCTCGATGAGAACGACGTAGACATTCCAAAATTCGATGAAAGCGAGCAAACTCACAACACTGAGCAGCAATCGAAGCAATCCAATGTCATCGAAAGCTTAAAAAAAACAATACATTAATTGACAGATGTTTACGTAAGCATGGGGGGAGGGGGTAAGAGCTTTGCTTACTTTTGCTGACAAGGGGGTTGGGGTGGTAAATAATTGTAATAAATCTGCTTAGGTAATACTTGAAGGGCCCCTAACGGAAAAGGTATTTTTACAACCTATCATCCAGATTTTTATATTTTCCTGTTTCTATGATATCGAAGACTGGAATTTCAGTTAGCTATGATGATTAGAAATGAGTCATTAGTCATTTTTCTTTCTAGCGATTTTACCATGCCTGTTTCATAAAGATAAGAAATAAGATACAAACGCATCAATTATATATCAAGTAAAAAGTACTTTTAAGTTTTCTCAAAACGTTACCTTTAAGGATAACAGGAAACCTGAGGACTACAAGCCAACATGACTTTTTCAATTTAT